CGCAAAATAACAACTCTGACGCAAATATTGCACAAACTGTCACAGCTAATGTACAAAAACCCAACAAACTTCCCTCAATAATACTTACTGAGTCTAAATTTACTTGGAGCAAACTTCAGGTACAGAAATATTGAAAATTTTAAGCTTTCTTCTAGCAGGAGTCATTATGCGTTTTTTGTTAATTAACAGAAGTTGTGATTTTTGAACATTGATGGAGATGCACCATTGCTTGCACAAATTTTCAATATCAGGGACAAATCTTTGCATATTTTTAATAGCAGTATCAGCGTTAAAAGACTTAATGGCGACGGCGGTATCGTCGTCGTAACAACCGATCTTTAGATCCCCCTATTATTACTTGTCTCAAAACGAAGAATGACATAGATAACGCAATTGACAATTTTACCGAATGTATCCAACAGGCCTTTAACACTGCCACTAAAGAGATCCCTTGGGATTACGACTCCCCAAGCGTATTTGGGACAAAATTAAAGAGCGAAATAATTTACGTAAGAGATATAATGTTTCATGGGATCCTAGAATGAAAAGAAACTAAAGGGACTTAATAAAGAAATTAAAAATGATATCAGTATCTACAGGACGGAAAGGTGGAACGAGAAGATCAGCAGTTTCAACGAACCCAACCAAGATTTTTGGAATTTTGCTAAAAATCTTAAGAGACATACTACATGTAACAAACCTCTTATTGGCAACAATAAAATTGCTCTTACAAATAAAGACAAAGCAGATATTATTGCATTACATCTCGAACAGCAATTTATGCCTAATCTCGACCCTTGCGATCATAATTTCATCACTGAGACCAACAAATTTGTTCATGAATGGCTAAATAGCATAAATATTAAAAATAATACTGATTTCACCTCTCCTAAAGAGATCTCAGAAATTATTAGAAGACTGAAAAATAGGAAAGCACCTGGCTTTGATCAGATTACCAACATTGCAATCAAAAACCTTCCATTGAGTGTCATCTCGAAACTCACTAGCATTCTTAATGCTTGCTTTGCCAATAATTATTTTCCTAGAAAATGGAAGACAGCCAAAATTATCTTGCTGCCCAAAACGGCAAGGATATTACTAAACCGGATGGGTTTAGACCCATCAGTTTACTTCCTGGCTTTAGCAAAATTTTTGAGAGGATCATTTGAAAGAGAACTAAACCTTATTTTTACAAGATTCCACCTGAGCAATTCGGTTTCCAGAAAAAGTTAAGCACTATCAAGCAGCTTGTTAGATTAGCCGAATTTGTCGGAGCCGCTTTGCACAACAATCAGACAGTTGGCTTACTCATGCTAGACGTGGCGAAAGCTTTCGACCGCGTCTGGCATGAGGGGCTTATTCAAAAGCTCACCACTCTGGATTTTAGTCGAGATATCATTCTCCTCATCAACTCTTTTATTACAAATAGAAGTTTCTTTGTCAACATTCATGACGATAATTCTGATTGTAAGACGCTCAAAGCCGGAGTGGCTCAAGGCTCTGTTCTTGGACCTGTTTTGTATATTTTTTACGTCTCAGACTTCCCTAAAATAAATTCTGATGTAAATTCCTTCCTCGGTTGTTACGCCGATGATACGGCCGTCGCCATTAAGTCTTTTAACGCCGATACTGCTATTAAAAATATGCAAAGATTTGTCCCTGATATTGAAAATTGGTGCAAGCAATGGCACATCTCCATCAACGCTCAAAAATCCCAACTTCTGTTAATTAACAACAACGCATAATGACTCCTGCTAGAAGAAAGCTTAAAATTTTCAATATTACTGTACCTGAAGTTAAGAAAGCTACTTACCTTGGTTAGTCCTAAACAAGCAATTCAAATGGAAAGACCATATTATTAAGGTCAGAAACAAAGCTTACACGGTAATGAACAATCTTGCACCCCTGCTGGGTAATTACTCTAAATTGGACCTTTCTCGAAAAAGACATCTTTATATGGCCATTATCAGGCCAATTTTTTTCCTACACATCCCCTGCTTGAGCTACAGTTACTACTAAAAATCTTTATAAATTGCAGGTACTACAAAACAAGTTTATGAAGCTTATCACAAACGCACATTTTTATGTCTCAAACGACACTCTTCACAGAGACCTTAAACTGGATACCGTTGAAAAATACCTCCATAAAATGAACAAAACCTTTTTCGACAAAGCCATACAATGCGACTTTTTATGTCATTTTAAAGTTTTTGACTATCTACCTTTGAGAGAAGATAGTTGCATCAGACCTTACGCGGCCCACCTCACCCGTGACGATAATTTCACTACTTAGATCATTTTCACGGATTTTCCTGTATATATTGTATATTTGTACATATTGTATATATGTTATTATTCTATCATTTCTATCTTTTATTTATGTGGTTTGTATTTGTAATGTATGTTATATCTTATGATATCTGATTTAGATAATAAAGCCTTTCTCAGACTTATTCTCATGTCTTTATCATGATACAACCACCCACTTATCATGATACAACACTACCAGACACCCACTCGTCTTCAGCCTCTCTATGCGCGCGACTTTTTTGGTTTTCTTTCTTCTTGTGACGCTGGTCACTTCCCTTTTCCCATTTCCGACGCTTCCTCACGACCCGTCCGGACTGTTCAACATCTTGTGCCCTATTGGGATACTTAGTCATAGAGCCGGCAACGTCGCGTGCTTTACAGCGACAGCCCGGCATAAAAGTATTCCCCCCCCAAAAAAAAATTTCCCCCCTCTTTGATTTTCGACTTTCGTTTTGGCATGACTGATGCTCAATGAAGCCTCGGGTACTGTCACTTACATGAGAAAGAAAGAAATAACCACCGAAACATGACAATCGCACGCACAAACCACCTTAGCCAAAAAAACAACCATATATATTCTTTGTCTTAGCCACCAAAGCGGTCGCCGTCTCGCTAATTCCCGCGTTTCTGAGTGATGACATCATAGCTTTATCGAAGCAAGCATCAGCAAGGCGTCACCAAGCGTCCAATTCAAGTTAATTGACGTTAAGAGTCTATTTTGCAGAAAAACGAGATAAACAGGCATCCCTCCGGGACAAGCGAGAGACCTCAGGACATGAAGTCTGAAATCCGGACTGTCCCGCCTAAATAGGGACGTCTGGTCACCTTACCTTGCTTATTTTTCAGATTCAGAACATTGTATAATATGTGGTCAAAATGGAACTTTATAATATGATAGTGAAAAATAAAAATGCTTTATTTTAATGTTATTTCTTAAATATAATTCCAATATATTACCATTATTTTAATGAAATTTATCAATGTTAGAATGTTCTAATAAAATCGTCAAAAAATTCCCAGATCTCGGAATTAAAAAATTTCTATAGAAACCGATCTTAAAATCGCCCAAATGTAGACAAGTCGCCAAATTTAGAACCGTTTAATAAAAGAATTCACATTCCTAACAGCAAAAGTTGTTTGAGAGCTCTTCATTACAAAAAATGAAATAATTTTGAAATGCTTATACTTCACTTCTTGCTCAGAAACTCGAGTATTCCACCATTTATATTACAAATAGAAAAAAATTATAACCCATGAACTCTTTCAAAAAATAACCATATTTGTCAGTGAATCGCCAAAAATATTCCTGCAAAATGCTAATTTACACTCAAAATGGCAGTCGTAGAAATAGACAGAAATTTCAGATGATTAAAATTAAGGACCTTCTGCCGATTTTGGGCGAAATTAAGGACTTTTAAGGACCAAAAATCGATTCCAAAAAAATTAAGGACCATACGAACCCTGCATTATACTAATTCTAAGGGAATTAGATTACATAATACATACTTAAAAATAACTTAAATATAAATAATGATGAATCTGAAGAGAACAGCCAAACAGCTATGAAATAAACATAGGGCATATTATTCATAATTCTATACCACAGAATACACTGCATGCTCAAAAAACCAGGTCTGCAGCTAATATGAGACTGCTTATCCAAATCAGCATGGCCTATCTTTCATCAATACAGTGATGCACATAATCAATCTTATCATGGAGAGGAGATTTCATCATTGAAAATAATAAAAATAAATAAAAGTCTTGTGTGGCTGTCCAGGTAATTCTTTTTAAGAAAAGACATTACTGACTAGTCTTCTAGCAGACTTTGGGTAACTGGATCTTTTTACTACAAGCTATAAGTAACATTACTTGGAGAATTAATATATATTTCATACCTTGCTATAAATTTACCAAATTTGTTATTTTAAAAATTAAGAAAAGATGAACAGCATAAGAACACCATGTTTAGGATGAACTGTTGATCTTCTTTTTTCCTTCTTCCTCATAGAGGATTGGATCTACATACCAAGGCATAAAAAGTGATTGCATGTATATTTAACAAGAGTTTCTTAACTGCTAAAACTAATTTCATATATAATAGTATCTTTTCTAAAGGGGCCAAAAAAATTAGGACTTTAGGTATTGCCCAAGTAAAACTATCAAAGAAACAAATGCAACATGAGCAACCACATTGAATTAACTGAATGAAATGCACAAGTTTCATATGAAGAAGTTTCAAAAGGCAAATGCCAGAAAAACAATAACACATGAACCAAGCAAACAGGATTTAGACAATACTATGCATACCTACAAATTACTGATAGTTCAGATATCATTTGGCTTATAAATCTCATTTACTAGCCATTTATACATAAAAGTAACGCTAGATTAAAATATTTGGAAATACACTTAACTGCTACAGTTGAATGTATCTAATTATATTTTCAGGTTTAGTATGATTAATGAAAATGTATGTAACATGATGCATTACATACCCCACTACAAAATCATTTGTTTTCTTTTATATTTTTCTTCTAAACATTTCAATTCACATTAACCAGCTTAAATTTGTATTTTCTTGTTATATCAAAATCAGCCATTTATGTTTAATGCTAGATTAAAATATTTGAAAATATACTGAATTACAACAGATGAAAGAACTAAAAGAAGATAATTTTTGCACTTACAAGACTGTCAGCCTCTAAAATTATATCACTAATAAACAGAGCTTGATTCCCTTTGGCTTCAGAATCTTTATTTTGTTTTACAGTTGGCTTTATTTTCCTGACAAAAATAGGAAATGTAAAGAATTCTAAAAAGTTTTAATAAATGCAAAATTTGCATATATTTGTACAACTGCATTTTTGATTTGCAAGGATATGTAAGTAATAGCTAATAGCAGCAAAAATTTGATTTTATTTGATCCAGCAAACATATTATGAATCAGAATCATAAACAAGTAAACATTTCATATTCCTAACTTGGAAAAAGACAATGACTTGCACTAACACTGATTTTCCTTTGTAATTGAACTCAATAACAGTGAAGTTCCTATGTAAGAACTTCCCTGCCAAAAAGAACTTAAAATATTCTCTTCTAATCAACACAAGATGTAATCTTAAACATCCCCTCAAAATTTGCAATCTTTCAGAAAATACCAATGGAACTTTAGCTTAACCTTTCATACAGTCAAAAGTCGTTAATTCGGACACCCATAATCCGGACCTCAAAGCTACAAACTTTCTGCGCATGCGTCGCGTTCACGCACGCGCACAGGCGTTTACGAGTGCACGTAAGACCTTTACGGCTGCGAATATGTTTTTGCGCATGCGTGTAACGGACGGTATAATCTAAGCAAAAATTATTTAATTCAGTTAATGTTGCAGATTGCATTGTTCCTTAATCTTCGAATTGGATCCGGCTTATTATTTTTTGCGGACTGTTAGAGCAATTTCATAAAAGTAAGCTTGAACTTTCGATTATGTCAAATAGAATTTCCGATATATATTTACTAATATGTAATTTGTATCTGCAAAGTGAAAGTATGTTTTGAAATCCGAAATCTGTTTATCAATTTCACGCAGCGGATTGGAAGTTGATCTGTCAGCACTATCCTTATCTTCAGGGCAGATGTTTATATTTTATTTGGCTTATAATTCCTTACTAAGTATATTTCATCTCGATGTACTCTGTCTTTGATATGATTTAAATCAAGTTCCTCATCATTATAATTCGCTTCCGATAGTGAAGAAAGTGACCCACAGGTTATTGAAAACGAAAACATTTTAGTCGGTATTCTCAACACAGCAAGTATAGGACTTGAACAGCGGAACTTTGTAACTAAACAAGAAATTATGTCTGTTTAATAGAATTAAAGAGAAAGTATTATCACATGAAACGAAGCAACTTACATTGAAAGGAATGTTTGATAAAGTAAACAAGTAAATATAAGCTTTTTTTTTTTTTTGTAAATTTTGATACCCTTTAGATCATAATTGTTTTTTATTTCACAAATTACGGTTTCATATTTTTAATTTTGTAATTTCTGCATGCCATCTTACCAGATTTAAACTGATGATCTATAATCCGGAAAAATCGATAATCTGGAATCGCCAAAGTCCCGACGAGTCCGGATTAACGACTTTTGACTGTAGATGTGTACTTGGTTTAATCTGGAAAATTCAAGATCTCTCTTACTTCAGTTATCATAAATATTAATTGTTCTTTTTCTTTTATTTATCCTAAAGGAGCAGGTAATATTTTTAATATGAAGTTGGAAGTCAGCCTATCTACTACTTTCATGAAGATATCAGCATGTTTCTCTAATGACTTTTAGTTGATACTTCTGTAAATATTTTGTTTGATCCAAGAACTGAATCTAATGCCACTTACAATGATGTTTTGATCATTGAACTATAATGCCGATTTAATTTATTCCTTACTTTATTCATAACAATACATAACGTTTATTTACAGTTAACTAACTACTACATGAATCAAAATATTGATTTTAGTGATCAATAGAGTAGTATATGCCCTGGATGAAGAATTCTGCCTTACTCTTTTACAAAAAACTCATAATCTGGCCATATCCTGTTTTTATAACAACTTTCCTTCAAATATCACAAAAATCCGAAGTACCTTTCAAATTTGATTCAGCTAAGAAACTGAATTTTCTCAACAGCAATCAGATGATTTTGAAAGATGATAAAGATAAAAGTTAGATAATGAAAGAGTTAGATCAATAAGAATTGCAACAGCGTAAACTTAAGACATATGGGGAAATGACTAAATCTTTGATGTTTACTTGTTTACTGTTTTTATTTCTTTAGCATACAATAAAGAAATTTATTTTCATATGAACACCAATTATGAAAGTTAACAGTAACATGAATGTTATTTGTGATCCTTTCTATCACATATGAAAGTTTCTGGTGCATCTACTTTAGTATTCAGATAATTATGTAATTATATCTAATCATCAAATAATTATGTAAATATATCTTATCATATAAAAAAATTTCTTTAATTTATAAAATGATTTAAATTGATCATGCAAAAAAAGCATAATTAGATAGATATCAATAACGTATACAGTGAAGACATAGTTATTTTATTATTTTTCTTCTTTTAGTGTGGTGTTAATAGATTAACTAATATCACACACAATGCTTAACACTGAAAAGTTTGATAAAATTAATTCTCACCCAGAGTAACGGAATACAGAAGCAAGAGCATCCAAAGACTGATTTGCACATTTTCCCATTGCTTTTGCTAACAATATTTCAAAATGCTCCACAAAATGTTTTCTTTCATCTTCAAGTTCCTCAGTACTTTCTGGCACTGCAGATTATATAATTGGAACAATTATATTTGCAAATAGTTAGTAGTAGTTGTTTAAATCCCTGACAAATTGATAGATTTTTAATAATTAATTAATCTGCATTAAAGATTAATTTGAAATACAAAGTTATGATCCCATTTATAAACATTTCATATAATAAGTAAATATTAACAGTCAGATCTAACAATCCCAATATGCAACTAATTATCATAAGATTTAAAATATTTTACATTACTTTTTATAGATTAATATGTTCATAATATAAATAAGAAAAGGGAAAATTAATATTTACTCTCAGTATCAGTTTTCATATCAGATGAAACACCACCAAAAAGATCCATATTATAGATATCAGATTTAGCTTGCTTTGCTTCGTTTAACAAAAATGTTGTTAGTTCCTCAACAATATCATCAAAACATTGGCATTTAAATAAAAGAATTTCTTCACATGATTTGCAGCTATCCTAATAAAAAAACAGCACATTGAACAGAACTGTCATCATTAAAATAAATGTTTTAAAATTATCAACAATGTATTAATTTTTTACAGGCAAAAGAAAGGGATATATGTGTGTGTGTGTATATATATATATTGTATATATATATATATATATATATATATATATATATATATATTTGCCTGTAATATATATGTGATAAGATAACTTTGAGTAAGCTGTAGTAGGTTGAGGATGGTCTTCTGCGTTACATCCTGGAAAGACTTTACTGCATAGCTAGAAAGATGGCACTCGAAGGAAAGACATGGCCGAATTGAATATAATTTTTATTGCTGAATATGAACTAATTATCAAAAATATATTCTTCATCATACACAATCATGGGCACAATATGCACCCCACAATTTTATACATAGTATCACATTTTAGATAATGGCATAGTTAAGGTCTGTGACATTTAGCGTACGGGACACTTAACCGACACCAGTTAGCTGACAGGACATTTAGCCGACAAGGACACTTAGCTGACAAGGACACTTAGCCGACAGGACATTTAGCCGACACGGACAGTTAGCCGACAGGACATTTAGCTGACAAGGACACTTAACAGTTAACACATTTAGTCAACAGGTTACTAAGCTGACAGTGACATTTAACTGACACGTACCCAAAAATTATTTAAACTATCAATTGCAAAATTTCTCGACGACTCCATAAGTTCAATATTTAAGTCATTTTTTTCGCCTATCAGTAAAATTCATTTTTCGATTCTTAAAGATCTCATATGTGCTATTAATTATTGTGTTAATTTAGCATTTTTTTGATATGTATTGTGCTGTTTGGTGAACATTGGCCATACTGAAAAAGCACTGAAATTTCTTGTCAGGGAATATGAATTAAATTTCGAAAGGAAAAAAGAATTTTTTAGCTAAGTACGGCGGTCACTTAATTACATTTTAATATGATCTTCAAAAATTATCTGTAAAGCTAAACCAAAAATGAGGAAGAGAAGGAATGAAAGAGGGGAAAAAATAAGATTAATGAAAAATGAAATAAAAATTTATACATTTTTAACAGATATTTCAAAAAGTTATAATTTATAAGGAAACATTAATATAACATATTATATTGAAAATTACACATCGCGACTTTCAAAACACAGTACATAATATTTTCTATTTACATGACTGATTTAGTTAAATCTAGCATCGATAGATAGCATCACATTATGGTGACTTTTACGATGTGATGCTTTGCTCTTGCTCTACTTGGTTTGTGGCCCCTCTTTCTGCAACTTCAGTTATGAATAAAACCAAACCTTAAAAAATATTTTACTTCTAAATTAAACATTGTGCACTAGTTTACGGCTATAAACATTAACCTAAGTAAGTATTTTGAACGAGAGGCGTGGTCAGTAAAATGTTCCAAAGTTTTTATCTCAAGAATGGTTGCATGAACTACAAATTATAGAGGTCACAAATAATTTATACTTTTGCTTGTCTTAAAAATTCACTTTTTTAAATTGTTTTTAATAACAAAATAAAATATATTTGCTAAACTAACCCTCACCACTATATGTTTCTAAAGTATAATTCAAGAATAACATTATTCAGATTTTTCATGACAGGGAAAGGAAATTTCATTAGTGGGAGGAGCCAAACGATTTTGTAAGGGAAAGAATGTAACATGATGTGATGAGTAAAATAGTAATGAAACATAAAGGTATTATAAATTTGAAAGCATTTGGAAGAGCGAGATTGGAAAATTAATATCATTAAGTACACAAGAAAAATTAATAATGATGTGAAAGTGTTCAAAAGAACCCAGTTGATTAAATGAAGAAGCTTTACAGATAATTTTTGAAGATCCAACATTAAAATGCAATTATGTGACCATCGTACATAGCTAAAAAAAATTCTTTTTTCCTTTTGAAATTTCATTCATATTCCCTGACGAGAAATTTCAGCGCTTTTTCAATCTGGCCAATATGCACCACACAGCACGATACATATCAAACCATGCTAAATTAACACAATAATTAAAAGCACATATGAGATCTTTAAGAATCGAAAAATGAATTTTACTAATACTGAAAAAAATAACTTAAATATTGAACTTATGGAGAAGTCGAGTAATTTTTGTAATTCATAGTAAGTTTGAATAATTATTGGGTACGTGTCAGCTAAATGTCACTGTCGGCTTAGTGTCCTGTTGTCTAAATGTGTTGACAGTTAAGTGTCCTGTAGCTAGATGTCCTGACAGTTAACTCTCTGTGTCGGCAAAATGTCCTGTCGGCTAAGTGTCTTGTCGGTTAACTGTCTATGTCGGCTAAATGATCTGTCGGTTAAGTGTCCGTGTCGGCTAAATGTCCTGTCCGCTAAGTGTTCGTGTCGGTTAAATTGTCCTGTCGGGTAAGCGTCCACTTGGCTAAGTACCCGCGACTGGCATAGTTAGTAGCACAACCGAGCAAAGTAGCATCTTGACTGCTGGAGAGCTCAAGCTAAAAAATGCGTAATTGTCTAATATGGAATGCCCACCAAGAGGAGGTTTCAGTTCTTGAAATTGTGAGTTTAGGTTCTGAATTAGTTATGTCATCGGCATTAGGCAAGCCATGCTAGATGGCTTGATCTAGAAATGACACAGTTGAGAAAAGTTACAATTTTAAGAATAGAGAAGGGGTATTAGGGGTTCATTTTGATTTACATACTTTTTATCTTACATAATTCCCCTTGCTTCAAAGAGAAAAACACTTGGCAACAGAAAAGCCTTTTTAGCAAAAGCAGTAGAGCAATAGCAAAGAAATATTATACAATATGTATAGTTCATACGAGAAAACAAATGAAAAGCTTCAGGGACATAGCCTAGAGGTTTTGCTATACCCTGTCATTTGGTTCACAAACGTTCTTATACCTAGATATATAAAAACATATATAAATGTTATTTCAAATTCAGAATATATAAAAACAGGTAAAAAAGCCAATTTAGAAATATAAATGAAATGTGTGAAATGTCTTCAAAGTTCTTGAAAATATAAAATAAGTTCTCGTATTCAATATGCTCTTCTTCAAGAAGTATAAAGCTTTTGAAACGATGTGATGATATTGTTTCGTAGTTTCACATGTTGTAAAAACTCAACACTGTTATCAATAGCAATTTTTTCCAAAACATAGTTATGAAATTGCATCATATTTCATACATACTTATTTATAATAAAACAAAAATAGAGTTGCATATTGTAGAGATATAGAATAACAGATACATATACATAAAATAAATTAACAAATTTTGATAAAAATAGGCAGATCCACTTCAGTGTAAATCAGAGTAAGAAACTGCTGATGGCTGTGGGATGCTCAAGTACAATTGCACCTAAAACCCTTTGTTCCATGAAAAAGGTGACTAGCTTTTAGTATTGTATGATAAATCAAAGTTAAAAGTTTCAATTTACAAAAAGACACAAAAATAAAAAGTCAAGGCAGACAAATAACTTGTATGTTCAAGTTATGTCAAAGAAATTTAATTAGTTTAACAACATTACTCTACAATCTTAAAATTACTACTACTAATAAAGATTAAATGTGAATTGTGTGTTGTATGTGTGATAACACTTTGTGCTGAAACTATGGCCAGACGAATGTGACCAGTGATAAAGTATCCAGCCTGTGAAAAAGTACTTACCATAATGACTCTCCTAAATAAAATTTTAATTTAGGGATGAAGTCAACAGGATCCTACCTAGTGAAATTGAAAAATTGGCCTATGGAATTAAATTGCAAATTAAAAAGTGCTAAATTGCCTAACTGAAATTCTAAATTTTTTAGCGATTTTACAACTTTTCTGTGCCTAGTGATAATGTAAGTAAAAAGTACCCAAGAAGAACATCATTCATCATAATGTATTCACAAGTGGTTCAAAATCCTTAGGCTTCCGGAAAATTCGACCTTTGTGTTAATGTTAATGGTTTTCAACTATTTTATCGGCTAAATTAATTCACCTTTTTTTTTTTTTAAATCCGAAGGGGCTTTGTCCCTGAGGGACTATTGTTTTTGTTTTGATATTTTGCGTTGAAACACTCTGAATGTCCTTTTCACTTTTCAAACTGCTGCCACCAAATATTATCGCCCTGTATTATATTTGAAGAAATTAAATAATGAAGAATCTACATTAACATATGTATATTTCTCGCATTGTTATAAGATAACGGTACCTAGAGCCATCAAATTTTGAATGGCGTAATCCTACTGCAAAAAAGGGCATCTAGAGGCCCAAATTTGAAATTTGGAATTTGTTTTATTATCGATTTCATATTTTGTAACACTTTAATGAATTTTTTATTAACAAACTTAAGGATTTCAAAGCGAGCAATGGAAACATTGTACAGAAAATAGCATTTTTATCTCCAATGCCTGAGACTGTGTATCCGAAATTCTAAAGATATTGTCAATTTAAAGTTATTCTGCGATATTACTCTTGAACTGAATTTTATGGTTTAAGTACAAAGAACATGATATTTAATAAATAAAGGTAACACACAAAATGAAAGAAAAAAAAAAAAAAAAAAAAAAAAAAACGCTCTTCTGGACATAATATAAAATCTGAAAACTTTCAGATTTTCTTTTCTTTCCTTTATTTATTTATTAAGAGATGCAAAAATGAGAACTATGCAAAAGGATTTTTAGAATAGAGAAGGGGAATTATGGGACTTATTTTGATTGACATATTTTTATCTTATATATATACATGTATTAATAAAGAAGAAGCATTAAAAATAATTTTTGATAAAAAACTTAATATAAAAAACATTTCATATGTACATATGCACTATTCAAAAGATGAATTGCAGTATCATAAAAGAAAATTCTTAAATTGTGCAAATACAGTATAATATTGTAGAGACATTAGGTATTTTTTGGAAGCAGGCAAGAAGAAAAATATGCAACGCCTTCGCCGGGAATCAAGCCACGGACCTCTCAATAACGCGCTGAACGTGCAGACCACTACACCAC